CGGAAATAGCAGGGCAGCACAAGAACTCTAATTAGAGTCCTGGGCTTTCTGTCGTCACTGCTCTGGCTCTGACGGCTCCTGCTGCAGAACAAAAACAGGAGAGAGTTGTGCGTGCTCCCTGCGGTCTGTCCCTCGCACCGGACTAGCTCCCAGACAAGACCCCAGGAGCCGAGGGAGAGAGGGGGCGACCAAAGGAACGGGGCGTCCAGGTGATGTGCATCCGACAAATCACTGTGCCCTAAACCCCCCCTCTCACTCCCCCAGGTCCCAGGTGTGCCGGACAGGACACTTGAGCTGAGGCCCTGTGGAGGAGCGGTCAGCTGGCACAGCCTGGCCAGCAGCACAGACCCACCTGTATTCCCCAAAATCGGGAAGGACCAGGTTCCTTAAATACACATGCAGCATATGTATGGTCTGTATATACTGATGGAAAAAATAAACGCAACACCTAACACCTATACATAGCTCTCTCCATTGGCTTCCTGTCAGGTACAGTAAAATCCTTCCACTTACTAACAAGGCTCACAGAGGTCAGGCACCTGTCTATCTAATGGAACTGATTAAATGTTTACCATCCAAGTCGCCCGCTTAGATCACAGAACGCAGGTCTTCTTCTTATTCCACATATTAATAAAATAACAGTTGGTGCTAAAGCCTTTATTTACAGGGCCCCTGGTTTATGGAATAGTCTGCCAGCCTACGTACGGGATACCATTGTGTGCCTCAGTGTTGGCCTTCCATGCAGATCTCTGTAGACAAGCAAAATCCTCCTAAACGATAGCTATATCCACAATGCCCCTCTTGGATCCATGGCAGTGATGCAGCATCCAACTCAGATGATGCTCAGCCCGGGCTCCATCCGGACATGTGGGGAGGAGAATAGGATAGTTTGGTCAGAACAGATGTATCTACCTGGTGGGCCAACATAGAGTCACGCAATGGCATGTACAGCAGCACCAGCAGCCATGGGTGCAGCAGGCTTTGATGCAAGGTGTGAGTAGGCTAGGCTGAAGTAATTGGTCTTCAGTCTGGATTTGAATCCTGAGATTGATTCGGCATCCCGAACATACGGTGGTAGACTGTTCCATAAGCTAGGGGCCCTGTAGCTAAAAGCTTTACCGCCAACTGTTTTCTTATTAATGCGTGGAATATGAAGAAGACCTGCATTCTGTGATTAATGGTCAACATTAATCAGTTCCATTAGACAGACAGGTGCCTGAGCTCTGAGAGCCTTGTAAGTAAGTAGAAGGACTTTGAAGTCCACCCTGTACCTGACAGGAAGCCAATGGAGAGAGGAATCTCCCCTGCGTTGTCTTCTGGCCCTTTCTCTCTCTGTATTGTCATGTACTGTCACACAGCTTTGTTAAGTGCCTTGGGGCAACCTTGTTGTGAAAGGCGCCATATAGAACTAAACTGAATTTAATTGAATTGAACACCTCCTCCTCCTCCATGCTCTGGCCCTCCCGTCTGCGTGGAACAGGCTGAGGAGTGACTCATCAGTGAAGAGGACCTGATGCCACTGCTGACGAGTCCATCGCAGCCTCTGTCTGGTCCAGGCCAGTCAGGGTGACGTCTAGGAGGTGTGAGCAGAGGGCCTCTGACAGGTCGCCTTGCTCTAAGGCCAGCAGCATGGAGCCTCGCTGTCCTGTCACTGATGTGGGCATTGTGTCTGCCAGCAGGTTCAGCAGCAGTACAGGTGACAGATCTGAAACGATCTCTCAGATGGACCAGTCTGATGTGTCGGTCCTGCTCTGGCGTGGTCACTCGAGGGCAACTGGATCTTCTCTGCAGTCGGGACTGTTAGGAATCCCTGGTGGGAAGATACAAGGATCCTGTGCAGACGCAGGCACGGGTAATAGATGAGGCAGGCGAACAAACCAAAACGAGAGGCAAGGTCGTGGTCAAAAGACGAAAGGCAAATCGTAATCCAGGAAGATCTCCGGTAGCGAACAGTCCGAGGCGAGAGGCGAGGTGCAAAGTCGAAAAAGCAGAAGGGGAATCCAAAAACCAGAATAAACGAGGTACAGGGGAAAACCGCCAGGTAGAGCTCTCAAGGAGTAAACTCAATACCAAGCAGCAGGAAGCAGGTGAAGATGGTATAAATAGCAGTGCGCACCGGACGGTGAGTGTGCGCAGGTGGTTTAACTCGTGCGGCGGCGTTTGTTAATAATCACCTGCTGCTGGGGCTGATTAGCTCGCTTACGAGTTGGTCTTGACTGCCTGGTGGTCGTGACAGGGACACAGTGGAGCGGCTCACTCCATAGTGTCTGGCAACACTGGCACATGACAGGCCTGCCTGCAGCATGCCAATGGCCCTCTCCCTGGCTTCTGGTGCCATTCGAGGCACAGAAAACTGACGAAGTGTGGCCCTTTTCTGGCAGTGACCTAAGCTTTGAATTAAGGCCTTTTTAAAGGTGACCTGATCAGGCATTGTTCCACCTGGACCTCGTTGGGTAAAAGTGCACCTAACGAGCTTCCGTGTGATTGGCAAGTTGCAATGCCTCACTGCACAAGCTGTGTCAGAGGGGTTAAAAGAAATTGACAACTTTTTGTGAAAGTACATAAGCTATAACTATAGTATTCTCATTACAGAAAATATTGCGTTTCTTTTTTCCATCATTATAAACATAAAATATATAAGTAGGTAGTCATATTTTGAAGTGGCATTCTTTTTAAATTCTTGTTATATTCTCGAATCCCCTGCAGCAGGGTTTTTGACACAGGAGTGTGAGCTGCTGGCTCCCCTGTGCTCCTACAGTTCGGGGGCCAAGGGCAGCTGGAGGCTGCACTCGTACCTGGGGCACCTGTGGAATATCTGCCCTGCGGAGTGGACAGAGCATCAGCTGGATCTCCATCCTCCTGCCTCTAAATCATGCCTCACCCCAGGGGTTCCCCAGCTGGTCCTGGGACCCCCCTGAGCACTCAGTTGAGGAAGTAGACAAGATCACTTTATTGGCCATCTACAGTTTCTTGCATTAGGAATTTGTCTTTTTCACAGACCCCAGCTTGCTCTCCATGAGACACACAGACAGGGAGAGAAGCTGGGGGTCAGCCATTTATATGGCACCCCTGGAGCAGTTGGGGTTAAGGGCCTTGCTCAGGGGCCCAACGGAGTAGGATTCCTCTGCTGGCTGCGGGATACAAACCAGCAACCTTCCAGCCACAGGTGCAGCTCCTTAGCCACAGAGCCACCGCAATCATCTTTTCAGTTCCTAAACATGTTGGGCGTTGCCTTTCAGTGCTTGAGTTTCTTAAGCAGCTTAAGAGTCTCCGGTCTTTGAATAGAAAATAAACCTGCGAAGATTCTTCCCAAGCTTGTTGGTTCAGTTAAGGCTCAATTGAAGTCAGGAGCTCGGCTGCAATGAAAACCTGCGTGGGATCTCCAGCAGCAGGACTGGGACACCTTGATATACCCAACCCTGAGTCCAGCGCCTACTCCCCCCACCTGCCCTGCCGTGTTTTAGTTAAAACCAACCACATGGCTGTGGTCACCTGTGGGCCGGTTTGATCTGAAGACAACAAAACACACCTAGAGAAGGACCAAGAGTACAATGGCCTGCTTGTGATTGTGAACTACCTGTCTAAATGCAGTACATTGCAAGCTCTCAGCTGCCTATTTTTAAAATGCAAACAGAGCAAATAGACTTCCATTCTGGGACACTGAACAACCGCCTTCCTTTATAAGCTGTACGTCAGACATCCTACAGGACTCTTCAGCTTGCCTGTGTGTCTGGATATCTCTGACAAATCTCTTTTGTTCTTAGATACAGTTCTAGTATATTCAGTTTAGTAGATTTAGTTCTTCTAGATACAATATGCTATAAATGTGCTACACAAATCTGAGCAAACCAACCCCTGCAGGTGTCACAACAATAAAAAAGGTAATAATTTATTTCGGTTTGTTCAGCTCTACATCCCCTGAAATGAAAGGGGTAGACCCCCTTTCACCCCACCGACATACAGCCCCGCCTGCGGACACACAGCAGCCCCCTGAGCTGCAGGTGGACTCCAGGGAGAGACCACAGGAATTGAAGGGGAGCTTCAGGGATGTCAGACTGAACAGTTCAAGAATTCCAGAGTGGAGTCTGGCCCCGACCCACTGTGTCTGTCCTTGTGCGTGCATCTGTGAAGAGGGAGACACTCAAGCTCTGGGGAGGCCACTGGACTGAGCACCAGTGCAGCTCTGTGTTAGCAGAGTCCAGACAGGGGCCTCGAACCCACATCCCTCCAGCTGGGAGAGCTGAGCCCTAACTAACTGGCCTGCTGCGAGATTCACAGCAGGACCACAGCACAGACCCTCTCTGCCACATTCACACACCATGAGCTTCCAGGAAAATATCCCAGCACGAAGCAAACCGGCTCCACAGGCAAAAAATCAGGCGAGAACTTCCCTGGCGCAGGAATCGGAATTGGGGTCGGAATTCCCCTCGGCTTCTGCGTGGGATAGCTCCTCCCGGAGATGCAGTTCCTGGTTTACTGCTGGTGCTCGCCCGCCCTCCCACAGCCTTTGTTAGCACGCTAGACTGGAGCAACATATTGTTCATGTTAAGAAAGGCAGAAAAAACGGATTTCAAAGCAGCAGTGACATAATTCCATCCACAGCCGTCTCCAGGCTCCTGCTGGCAGCTCCCCTGCCTTGTTAGGAGCCGGCGAAGCGTCACTGCTGGATTGCTGCAGAGCTGCTGCGAGCAGAGGCTCACCACTCCCCCTCACACATACGGACCGCTCCCCTCGCCCCCCCTCACAGAGACGACCCCTAACCCCCCGGCACACACCACCCCCGGCCGCCCCCCCCACCTCACTAGTAGCACTTGCAGTTGGAAATGCGTGAGACTGAAAGGGCCTGGAGTCCTTCCCAGCCCCAGAGGGGTCTCCTGCCGCAGGGGTGAAACCCAGGAAGAGCTGGCTTGCAGCTCCTGCACCCTGTCAGTGTGGGACATGTGGGACATGTGGGACGCTCAGGGCCCATTCCAACCACAACACAATAGAAACACAACAGACACGCTTTTCTTTTTAATAAGTTTCAATCTTTAAGAACACAAACACGTCACCCCCTATCCCGTTCACAAACAAACCAGTGGTTCTGTTGGCAGCGGTGATGCAGTGGGACTCCTGCACACCAGTGGGACTTGCAGAAACACAGGTGCCCCTGTGCAGAGCAAGCAGCTGCAGGCGATCGCCATGACAACGGTCCCTTTTAACAGCATCCTGCTTCCCGGTGTCCGGCGACGCTCCGGCCTTTCCTCGGCCGGACAAGCTGCGCTGCAGCCTGCCCTGGAAGGTCTCTTCTGAAGGGAGCCAGTCCCAGCCCAGCGGTGGCGTGCAGGCGCATCAAAACACGCAGGAAAAACACTCGTAAAAAAGTCCAGCTCTTCGTCCTGAAGCCTCCTAAAAACACCCTGGTCACGCCCGTAGGTGGCACTATTCCAGGCAAGCCAATAAGAAACATGGACACACACACACAATCTTCTACATGTCCCTTAGACTGTCTGGGAAACAATTTGTGTACAACACAAGAAAAAAACAATAATCAAAGAGCAATAAAAAGAGACTTCTGCTGACCGCAGGGGTGGAGCGAGAGGTAACTCTTCCTCTGGCAGAATAACGGCTGAGGAAGAAACCCAGCTGGACAGGAGAAACTTCTGAAACTCTGGAGCCGTGAAGAAAACTGTTACATTCCAAGCAGCACGTGGAGAAAGCCTCTTTCTGCATACGCTCTCACACAAACACAGAGCATTAAAAAAGAATACAGGTATATGCTTATACACAGCACATATACATACATATGTACACTTAATTGTAAATTCACAATTAGAATTACACACATTTGCGCATAATTGCACTTCTCGTAGTGGCCAGCAGGGCGGCGATAGTGGCCTGTACAGTAGTGTACGACAATGACAATGAGATATTTACTAGCATTAGTTTTGTTCAGTTCTTTGGCCCATTTCTAATAGCAAAAAAAAAAAATGAACAAAGTTTTTCCAGGCATTGTTATTATGACCTACCCGGTCTCACACTGAATAGAAAATTCTCAGACTCATGAAAATGGTTCCCCCTAGTGCTAAAAAATAAAAACCAGAAAATCCATATTGTGTTCCCTTAACACACTGCCTCTTAAAACTGTTCACTCTGTCCCCGTGTTACACACAAAAAGCACCAGGGTGCACCAGCAACACTGGCCCGGGTGAAATGAAATGACTCAACCTCTTCTCCGATGAGTAACATCAGGCTGCACAGGACAGCAGCTCAAGATGAAAGTCACCAGCGATCCTGGGCGAGTCAGGGAGAGAGCGAGAGAAAGCACTCAGGGAGGACTTCATCCCTGTTTTGCTCCTAATTCCGGGTCACTTTTCCCAATGGAAAATGGCTTATAGTATCCTAGCTTGCACTGCCAGGACAGGTCAGGGGTCGGGTTAGCTGGACAGCACACGGAAATGTGGGACCAGGGAATATTCTGCACTGCGCTCATTAATATTCATCATTTCTGCACTCTCTCCACAGAGTGGGTTTTGCCCAGAATTCCCTCTTTTCACCTGGGAGTTCATTCTGAACCGTCAGGAGAAAAGTGTCCTTTGTGCTTTTCGTTTCACACAGCAAGTTCAGTTTCTCCCCTCAGGAACAACAAACTTCCAGTTTCTCCGGGAATGAGGACATGGTAGTAATATTTTCCGAGGTTCCTGCTGGGTAAGAATTAGCCTGGTTTCCCACAGCAGCCTGGCACAGATGCCAAGAACCTGCACTTGCGCATGGGCACCTTTCCCAGCTCTCCCAGGTGGCAAGACGCTCCAACACAAGTGGTCTCCAGAACTGGTCCTGGGGAGCCCGGGGAGCCCCAGTCCCCCGGATTCTAAAGATCACCATCCCATCAGCCATTTCGAAACCATTCCAGAACTACTGTCATCAGTTAAGCAGATCATTGGTTACTAATTCTTTACTAAGTAATCTAAAGATCATTTTGCAGTTAAAATTTGAATTTCGGTCACCTTCAGGTGCAAATCAATAATTAATAACGCGCTAGCTGAGCGGACCGATGGCAGACCAGGCCAGGGGCTCTCCAGGACCATGCAGGAGTGGAGGGACCAGCATGCGGGGCAGTACGGCCACGCGCGCGCTGGGCACCCGTCTCGGCACGCACCCACCCCTTCACGCCCAGCAGGCTCTGGGTCCAGCCCAACGCCACCTCCGTCTTGAACACTGTCTCATTCCGGGCCGTGTCCTTGATGTGGGCTTGGGACAGGGAGTCTTCTTCTTTGGTTTCTGTCCATGGTTCCTGTTGATGACCTGGCGTCTGGCTTTTTAAAAAACACAACTCAACTCCCAGCACAGACTGGACCCTGAAGCCAGAAGCCGTGACAGAAGCAGAGTCAGAACCAGGCGGGACCGCAGCAGCAGTGATGAGCAGAGCCAGAGTCCAGCTGGGGACCCCCTCGGAACTGGGGGTGCGTCCCAGCAGGTGCACGACGGGCTAAGGGAGGGGGGTGTGGGCGGCGCGGGCTCCCTGCCTGCCGACAGATCGGGGGGGGTCATGTTGAAGGGTGCGACCCGGGGCCTCACAGAGGGTAGGAGTAGTGGTTCTGGTCCGAGTCCACGACCTGCAGGCTGGGCTTCCGCTCCAGAACCTCGCTTTCGGCCGTCTCCACGTGGGGACACCTTGGGGGGCGCACCTTGAAGAAATCGGACACGTAGCGCACCTGGGGGAGGTAAAGAGAGACGCTCACCAGG